TTTGCCTCCTTGGTTTCTTTATTCGGTAGGAAGCTCTTCTTCTGGGTGTGTATTTGGTGTGGTCGGGTTATTATGGTCAGATAGGACCTGCCTTATATATTTGAGGTTCGGTTTTCTTAAGAGACAAGGAATCGGTTGTGGCGTTATCTTCCACCTGTTCCAGACTCCTATGATCGAAAAACGTAGAACTGCAAATACACTTAGAAAGCCCAGAGTTCGTTATGAACAATGAACTGTCAAGCGGCGCCTAGTATTGGTCGGGTGGCTATAATAGTGACTAAATGGATCGATTTATTAGGAATATTTTATCTGAGTCCCTACCTTTTAATATGGGAAGAATTATAGGACGATTTTAATTAAAGATCTCTAAGGCAGTGCAATAAATTTAAACAAGTTTTTTAATGGCGAAATAATGGGGACAATAAACGCAATAATTTAATTGACTTCATCAAAAAAAATAAAGAGATTAAATCAAAACGAAAATCACGTTTTCTTGAGACGAGCTGCGTGGACGTGGTGTGCCTTGTTGATTGTGATGATGCACTGCGCGGCTATTGCTTTGCTTTGCTTTGCTTTGGGAGGGGTGGCTATGCCGTTTACTATTCCAGGCTTGTGCCTCTACTAGTGGATGGATTTTGGGGTTGATTGGTAGGTTCAGTTTTGTTAGTCAGTCCAATTTAATGGGTATGGTTTGGGTAAACGTATGGTGGTTGGAGGGGAGTGGGTTTTACCTAAGAGGCGGATATGATCGTATTCGGAAAAAGAGTTATTGTAGAACATTGTTTTTGATTGAGAGCAAATGGAATTTTGGATAGATTTGAAGTTAGCTGATTTTAAAAGGGCCGAGTTTCTAACGATAGTGGGCATACCGGTTATCGTGCGTATGCCGATGTTTTGGACGGATTCAATACGTCTCCAATGGGAGGGGCCGATAAAGGGTGCCCAGGAAGAGCCAGCATATGTAAGTATAGGGGTCACGTAGAGTTTAAGTATGTTAAGTTTTGTTTTCAGCGGAACGGGACTAGTACGGTTAAGTAAAGGGTAAAGCATACCACGGACGCGGGTAGCTTTTTTGGTTACGTCTTGAATGTGTTGGTTGAATGTAAGTTTACGTCCAATCGTGACGCCTAAGTATTTGGCCTGTTTTGACCAGTTAACGGGTTGGTTATCGATGGTTAGAGGTGGAATGTGGGTTGTATTAGAACGCCCGAAGAGGACGCCTACTGTTTTGGTCGGGTTTATTTTGATTCGCCATCTGTGAAACCAAGAGGTTGCCAAGTTAAGTTGGTGTTGTAGTTGTATGGTTGCACGTTTGGGGTTTTTATTACTAGTAAAGAACATCGTGTCGTCAGCGAAGAGTGTGAGGTTGGCTTTAGGAGTCGTTGGAATGTCGTTAATGTACGTCAAGTATAGCGTCGGTGAGAGACAGGAGCCCTGAGGGACTCCTGCGAGTACGTGTCTGGTAGTAGAGAAGGAGTGTTCGATTTTAGTGGTAAAAGTACGGTCGGTGAGAAAGGATTGGATGATTTTTACGATTTCTAACGAGATGTTGAGTTTGGAGAGTTTGTAGAGAAGGCCTTCGTGCCAGACGCGGTCGAAGGCTTTCTCCACGTCGAGGAAGACGGAAGCAGTGTTTAAGTCGTTGTTAAAGTTTTCGCTCAGTTGGTGGGTGAGTTTGGTCAGTTGTAGTGTGGTCGAGTGTTCGGGTCTGAAGGCGAACTGTTCGGGACGGATTTTGTTTTTGAGTTTGTCTTGTAGGTGGGTGAGGATGAGTCGTTCGTAAATTTTGGACAGGGAGGAGAGGAGGGCGATTGGTCTATAGCAGTGGTTTTCAAACTTTTTTTATACACGGCACACCGTACACTTCAAAAAATTTTCACGGCACACTGACATTTTTTTAGATGAACAAAATTGTTTTGAATTAATTATAATTTTATATACCGTAAAACGGTGTGAATAGAAACACTTTTGAACTTTGAAGTATTATAAAAACTTATCTATTTGAGCTACAAAGTTAAATAGTACATCAAAATACTGGTCTTGCCGAGTACTTTAAACCTGTTGATTCAAACATTTTTTAGTTTCAATAAATAATTTTATATATTTTTTTAAGTGCTCTGTTTCTATTGACCCGACAGTTGGTAACAATAGAAATACTTAAAACTTTTGCATACATTTTTTTATTATATCAACAGGTTGTTGAATAGAAACAATTATTGATATTTTTAAAAAATTGTACACAACTTTAATCATTTTTTTTTATTAAAATACAACAACATTTACCAACTGTATCAATAAATATTAAGAAAACAAAATAAAAATAACACCTTGTCATAACATTTTAGTCATACATCATATGAATAAATAAAAATAAAAATTAAATTAACATTTTAGTATTTTGCTTTCCAGTCTTTGGATTAACTTATTTTATAATATTAGGTTACAAACATAAACATAACTCTTATAACTAACATGGGTAAATGTAAATGTAACAACATGTATATAAATACATAGGTAATGTGAAAAAAAAATAATAAAATTAACATTTCAGTCTCTTAATTTCCAGTCTTTGGATTTACTTTTTTTATATTATACAGTAGGCAACAAACATAATTAATTAGTTAATACTTTCAACTAGTAATTGTTAAAAGTAAATTGTTAGAAGACTAGATGGAGTTACAGTTAAATGTGAACTTAAAAAGCCCTCTGGAATATGGTACTGGTTTTTGCATTTTTCCAATAATTTGGGATCTATCAAACTCACAAATATCTTTAACATTTGGAAACCCATACACAAAGCCTTTAAACAGTTTTGTGGTCTTGCTTCTTAAAAATGTACCTTCAAATGTAGATCCATCTAATCGTTTAATGATTTGTCCAATATAATACATGTATACCAAATCTTTACTAGTTGATTGCTTGAGATTCTCGAGTTGGAAAGATACTAATACCCAGTCATCAACGTTTACTTCATTTTCTTTGTCTATAGGGATTACATTTTTGAATGTTATGCCATGTTTCACCATTTGAGGTTCTGAAGTAGTATGGAGAACATTACTTAATGACATTTCAGGTTCGTCTGCATCTGATGAACTTTCATGAGGTAATTCTGTTCTTAGTTCTGAGTCACTATCAGTATCTGACACAGTTTCAACACTTTTCCCTGGGTCTACCTGTAATCTTTTTTTAGTTTTTCTTGGTGTACTGTTACTTGACCTCATACTTTTTAAGAACTCTAAAACTGAATTGTTTATGCTATCTCCACTTTGATTAACATCACAGCTATCATACGGCAACATAGTTAGGACTCTGTCTCTATTAAATGGAACGATACCACATTTATTAAAACCAGCTTTAATATTATTAACACTGTTTTCATTGAGTTTTTGTACAAGTCGTTTCAATAACATAGGAAAACGATCCTTAGGAATAGATATTTCATGAGCACCATCAGTTTTTTTCCAATTTTCTAAAATACTTCTCCAGTGCATTTTCAGTGGTCTAAAAAAGGCCACATCAAGCGGTTGAGTCAGATGCGTGGAGTTGGTAGGAAGAAATACAAACTTAATATCATATTTTTGGCAAATTTTAATTGATTCAGTGGAAAGATGACTTGACAAATTATCTCCAATTAATATTTTTGTCCCAGAAAGTTTAGATAAATATGGAATAGCAATTGTTTTTATCCAATCGTCAAAACAAAAACTGTCGAACCAACCAGATTTAGTACGATTAAAACGAGTGTGTTTAGGACCACCAATTCTCCATGTATCACTTATATGTTTTGATGTATATACAACATATGGAGGTAGGAGTACTCCATCAGCTGCAGCAGCGAACATTACTGAAGTTGAAGCTTTACTGTTGTTCATAACACGTTCAGGGTATTTCGATCCACGCTTTGTAATTACTTTACGTCTACCCGGGTCATCGGTTAAATTGGTTTCATCGTAGTTAACAATATGACTAGGAGGAATACCATCTATAGAGATCTCCAGGTTGTCAAAGTAATTATTTAATATTTCTCTAGTAATAGCTGCCCTGGAACGTTTTATATTTTGACATAATCTGAGAGCAAGTTTTGTTTTGTGCCTAGTCAGAAAACCATTTGCCCAATCCTTTCCAGGCATATTGTTTTTATTGAATTGCCTCACCTTCTTACCTCGTCGATCCAAGTATCCTTTCACCACCATTCTAATATAATACCTATCCAATGGATACCCCCATTCTGCACAAAGAGACAGGCATGATACTATATGATTTTCTTCTTCAATGGAAAGTGCAGTTTGTCCACCTTGTGCCTTCAAGTCCGGATTTTTGACATGGCGGAAAAGTACCGAATAATGTATACCATATACTTCACTAGCTTCTCTGTAGGTCATTTGTCGTGCCTTTATGCACCGAATGGCCGATTCTAAATCATTTGGATTGGGAATCTTATATTTTTTGGCTCTTGGATCTTTTTTTCTAATACGGCCCATGATTGTTTCTATTCACCCGCAAAAAGAGACATTTTACAAAATTTATAATAAAAAAAAAAATAATGAATTTAAAATTATTATACTTACAAGTTTCGACTACTGACAACAAGCTTGAACAATTTTAATGTGTAAGTGGTCGATCAACAAATTATTTCATTATAAACGGTGAGTTTGTATTTTGGGTTTTTTTTTTTGATAAGAAATAGTGCATGTTTGTTATCAATTTTACGTGCATGGAAGGAAATATAAACGGAACGTTTTGAGATTATCGAATTTCGTACTAGTGTGTATTCGATTTAGTGAAGGTTTCATATTGATAACACAAATATTTGATTATAGGGACGAAGAAATAATAACTTTCCTGATTTTGTTTCTATTTACCACACTGTTTCTGTTCACCCGGTTTTACGGTACATTCAATTAGAAATTTTTATTATTTATTTATTAATATTACAATTACAGTATAATTAGTTATTAAATTTATTTACAAAAAAAAGTGTAGTTTATACATAGGTACATTTAATGAGAAATGTGTGCCTGATGGGCGTTACAAATATTTTTAATTCTTGGACGAATAGTTGACAGACATACCCTCATTTCTTCTTCCACTGAATTTAGTTTTTCTCGTTTTTTATTTTTTATATTCGCAAGCGCTGAAAACCCTTGTTCACAAAGATATGAGGTTGAGAACGGCAAAAGAATAGTCAGTGCTTTTATAGATATCTCTGGATATTCTTTAGAAACATATATCCAGAATTTATTGAGAGTGATCTCTTTGAATTTCAACTGCAATGTTCGATCATTTTTGATTGAACAGAGATTTTCTTCTTCAACAAGTTTTAAATCAACCAAGTCACTAATAGACACATTAAAAGGGTCTCGTACCCAGTCATAATTTTTAATATTAATACTTGGAAAATATTTATTCATTTTTACTTCTAACAATGTGATGGACTCGACTATTAATGAAAAAATGTTGTCATCCGCAACTAGTAAAGCAGTACGTGGAAACATGATTAAATTACCTTGATTAATTTTAGTTTTCCATAAATTCAATTTTCCGATGAAAGCCATAATTTTGTCCGACGATGATAGTATATTTTCATCACGACCTTGCATACTTGAATTTAGTTTATTGAGATGCTCAAACAAATCAGTTAAGAAAGATAACTTTGTCCACCACTCTTCATCCCCAAGAAAGTTGAATTCAGTTTCTTCCATAGTTAAAAATACAAGTAACTCCTCTCTCAAATTGTAAAATCGTGATAAAATATTGCCCCTTGAAAGCCATCTTACTGCACTGTATAAAATCAATCTTGAATAGTCTGCATCCATCTCTTCACAAATTTTTTCGAATAGTCTTGATTTAAGAGGTCGGCTCTTAATAAAATTTATAACTTTTACAACTTGATCAAGAATATTTTGTAAATCACTTACTAAGGATTTTGCCACTAAGGCCTCTCTATGAAGGAAGCAATGGGTAAAAATAATATTTGAATTTTTTTTTTTGACTAAAGAAATGAAACCTTTAATTGAGCCAGTCATTGAAGGTGCACCATCAGTGCATATTCCAATACAATTGTCCCACGATAAATTTACTGATAATAAATGATCGTCCAAAACTTTAAAAACATCTTCACCTCTCGTTCTTTCGGGCAATGTTTTACAACAAAAAAAGTTTTCAATAATATCGTCATCAACTACCATGCGTACAAAAACTAAAAGCTGTGCTTTTCCACTTATATCTGTAGATTCGTCTACTTGCAGCGCAAACATACGAGAATCGCGTAACTTATGTAATACTTGCTGCTCAATATCTTCAGACATGTCGTTTATGCNGTCTAACAATATAACGGATAACCTATACTTTTTATAGTTCAATAGTTATCTGAGATTACTTATCTTAATCACTTTATTCCTACAAACTGTCGATTTATTAATATATAAATATATATCAAATCCATAGAGATTGAAAGCATTTATTTTCTTATATCGCAATTCAATGCAATCGGTAATTAATGGAAAAACCGCGGCACACCTAGTGCATACTCGCGGCACACCAGTGTGCCGCGGCACCCAGTTTGAAAACCACTGGTCTATAGTTTTCGGGTTGTTTATGGTCTTTGCCTGGTTTGGGAATGGAAATTATGACTGCTTTTTTCCAGGCAAGGGGAAAGTAGCAGATTCTGAAGGCGCTGTTGATGATCCGAGTAAGGGACAGTATAACGTTGTTCGGTAGGAATTTAAGAGCCGTGTTGGTGATGAGGTCGTCACCTGGGGCTTTCTTTTTGCGAAGGTTGCGAATTATGTCTTGTATCTGGCCGGGAGTGGTAAAGAGGTTAGATCGGGTGATGTCAAGGCCTTACAGGTACTGGGAGTGAGCGGTTACGTCTGGTAAGTCGGGGCCGGGGTTTGTTTGAAATTGACGTTCGAGCGAGTCGGCTATCAGCTCTGCTCGTTCGTTGGCCGGAAAAACTAGGCCGTCGGGGCCGGTTAGTGGGTGAGATGCTGGACGTTTGTGTAAGAGACATTTGTTGAGTTTGTATATTGAACCGTCTTGGTGGTCTAGTGAGTTAAGAAAGATGTCCCATTGGTCAGTATTGTGCGTTGCGAGTAAGGTACGTATGATAGATATTTTGGCGTTTAGTTGTCGTTTAATTGTCGGGTCGCGGTTTATTTGCCATTCGCGGCGTATACGGTTTTTGTCTTGTATTTCCAGTTTAATGTAGTCTGGTACTACAGTGGACGGGTGTTTGCGTGTCGGTACGTATACGCTCAGGCACGTACACAGAATAAAATTTCGGGGGGGGGGGGGGGGGGGTTTACAAAATATAGCAATACAAATTGTACATCAACATAATAATGAAACAATTTCTTCCTACTTACCCATTATTTTTAATGTGACAATTATTATGCTAAATATTCATACTTTATTATGTATGTCATTTGTTCAGTGTTCAGAAGTATATTTAGGAAATAGGAATATTAGGAATAATAATAGTAATAAAAATAAATAAAACTTTAAATAATATGTATTATGAACAGAACAGAAATGTATTTGATTATTATATGCACAAACAATTACCTAGGTGTATTAAAATGTATATATTATTTATTATTTATAAATAATTTATATATTTTATATATAAAAAAAAAAAATACAAACTAAAGTATAAAATCCCATTTTCGTGGTAACATTGCAAATCTATCGATAATTTCTTCCACATTTAAATCAACATTTCGGTATATGTTTAGTAAGGACAATCCAGTAAGTCTCGTTTCTCCCATATTGTTTCGTAAGTATGTTTTAAGTCTCCGTAGAGTTGAGAATGACCGTTCCGCAGTAGCAGTTGTAACAGGTAATGTGGCCATAATTGTCAAAAGACTGTGAATGTTTGGGAAAAAATCATAAGACATTGCAGACAAAGTAGTCAATGATGTAGTTGGACGGTCTCTATCAGATACATTTTTCCATTTAGCTAGCCAAATTTTAATTTCTGCGTCAAATGTTTCATAATTAGGTAAAATATCTTTATAAAAAAGCGCAACCTCCTGAAAATCTTTTATATCAGTTGTATTTTTAAGAAAATTTGGAATAAGTGATTGTAATTTGGCCATTACATTATGATGATTAGTAAATCTATCTTGTAATTGACAAATAAAATGATCCAAAAACGGTAAAAATATTGATCTTTTGTAATACTGTTCCAGAGAATCAGATGGAATATTATTACGTGCAGTTTGTCGACCTACAGTTCTTGGTACCTCAATAATTCCTTCTAACATAAACTCTTCTGAATTAGAAAATATTTGTTTAAACTCATCATCGCCATTTTCTCGAATTTCTTTAAATATTTGACATACATCTGTTACTCGCTCATAACAATATGACAAATCAATATTTACTTTTTGCAATGCTATAGATAGTGGTAAAGTTAAAGAAAAAAACTTCTCAATCACATGTAAAGCTATGATAAAAACTGAGTTATTAATGGAAATTGAAAGCTGAAAAGCTGTACGTGATGTTTCTATAATTGAACACTCTTCTAATTTTTTTTAATGCATAATAAATAGCCTTATATAATTCTTTAAATCTAATTAAGCTTTCATGTCGATCCACCCATCGCGTTTCACACATTTTTATTAGAGTTTTTGTTCGACTTTGTGGGACATATTCATTAATACATTCAATCAATGTGTTTGTTCTTTGCGATGAAGCTCGGAAAAATGTTATTACTGATGATACAGTTCCAATACAGTTTCTAATTGATGCGATTTTACATGAACTTCCAACAGCCAAATTCAAAGAATGAGAAGCGCAATGCACATAAAGCGCATGTGGAACAGCCTCTAAAATATAAAAATTAGGTAATTAGTGTGGTAATATTTAGGTAACTAGTGTTACGTATTATATTAATTTAATTTAAAATTTAAAAATTGTAAACAAAATTACCCTTTAAATAAATTTATTCATATTCCAAATACAATAAAAAGAGATAAAAATATACATAACTTTAAAATAATATGATATAAATTATATTTTACCTCTGATGTATTGCTGGACGCCATTGAACTGCCCACTCATCGATGCCGCGCCATCATAACCTTGTCCTACAAGACATTTTTTTTCAAGTCCGAATTTCTCTAGCAACTGAAGTATAGAAGTAGATAATCCTTTACCAGTCATATCATGAACAATTGAAAATTCAAGAAAATCTTCCATAATACAGTTTGACACACCGTCAACGTATCGTACACAAAAAGACATTTGTTCTAACCGAGATACGTCTTGTGTTTCGTCTACTAAAATAGAAAAATATTTTGCATTTCTGATATTTCTTAATATATTTTCTTGTATTAAATTGCCACAAATAGTAATGATTTCATTTTGAACATTAGGACTCGTGTAAGATGCAAAAGAAGTTGCANTGAACCCCAAAAAACCCCCCTGTATACGTGCTTGTGGGGGCGGGGGTGGTGTAAAAGATTGAGTTGTCGGCGGCAGGGTTTGAGGTTTGGTTGTTGGTGGTGCGATTTTGGGTTTTATCGTCAAGAGATGTGGGCATCCGCGGAAGTTAGCCGTATGGGGCCCGCCGCAATTGCAGCATGTCGGGGTTTGCTCGGGAGTTTTTTGGCATTCAGATGCCAAGTGATTTCCTGCGCACTTGACGCATCTGGGTAGGTGGCCACAGTTACGGGAACCGTGTCCAAAACGTTGGCACGAAAAACATTGTGCCGGGCCGGAAGGTTTAAGGGCTTCTACCGAAATTGTAAGATAAAATAGGGAGTTGAGAAGGAAGATATCCTTGGCGTTCGGGGTTGCCGCAATGTGTACGAGGCACATGTGCATCGGTTTTTCGGGAGTACCGAAACGGCGAATGTATTTTCTTTGGAAGTTTAGGGTTTCTAGTTCGGATTTTAGATCGTCAGTGGTGATGTCGGTCGGTATGCCCTTTAGAACAACCTTAAGGGAACGATCTTCAGGGAGGCTGAAGGTATGGAATTCAGTTTTTCTGTCAACTAGGACTTTCTGAATTTGTCGGAAGTGGGTGGGGTCGGTAGTTTGGACAGTTATTTGTCCATTGGATGTGGTTTTGGCTGTAATTGCCGATGGAGTGAATTTCGGAAGTTTGTAGATGGTTGGTGCGATTTTTCGCCAGGACGCAGAGTTTAAGATTAAGGGGGGTGGCCTGATTTGCTTGGGTTTGGCTGATGTCGGGATTTGTTGTTCGGATGTTTTGGCTGGTGGAGGTTTAGTAGTCGGGGCGGAGTGTTGGGCGGATTTGTTGGACTCGGTGTCGGAAGAGGAGTAGTTTGAAGACATTGTTAGTGATGAGTCGGTCGACGGAGTTGGAGAGGGGGGGGGGAATCCCTCTGTGGACCTTTTTGGAAGGTGGACTTTGGGGATGGTGAGGCACGTGGACGTCCCTTCTTGGAACTCCCGGGTGTATGCGCGGGGCCCTTCCGCTTGTTAGCTGTTTTGCCCATGGCAAGACCGTAACAAACTCAGGGTTTTAACACTGTAGCTCTGAAAAGAGCGATTTTCTGGTGGTGTGATGGGTGGGTTTTTTGGGCGTTTGGTTTGGTCAGGGATGGGATTCTGCGGCAATGAGAGGGCGCGGCCCCTCGACAGATAACGGTGGGAGGTGGATACCCGTCGCTTTCGCGACGGCTTACCTTGGGCGCTGGTGCCCTGTCGGAGTAGCGGTGAAAACGGCTGTTGATTTGGACTGCGACGTCGCTTCCGCGGCGGCTTTGATGGGCGCTGTTGCCCTGTTGAGAGCGGTGAAAACGGCTGTTTGCGTTGCTGACGCTTCCGCGGCGGCTTGTTTTGGACGCTGATGTCCTGTTGAAGTGAACCGGCAGTTGACGGTTGGCGATCGGGTTTGACCCGTGGGCGCTGTTGCCCTGTTGAAAGTACTGCTTCAGAAGCTGGATGCAGTGTTGAACGGCAGAGTAGGTGTTCACAGGCTGGCTGTTGATTGATTTTGAGTGATTTGTGACTCTGTTGCGCGGCTATTGTTTGTGCGTAGCGCTTATATAGAGAGGCGATTGTTTTATCCCCCACTTAATAGTCGTCGCGTTGCCATAGACTGGTTGCGTTTGCCACGCGAACCCGGCGTTCAAATGCCTTGGCTGTTGGATATTGTCGTTGGTCTTTGCATTTGTTACTTTATTTGCAAAGGTGCGTCTAGCCATAACATGTACCCCTATGGTGTTGTCATTTTCCTTAACTTACGTGACATTTTTTTTAGCAATGATATTATGAACGGGCGTTGTAATATTGTGTGTATGTGGAGTACGTGCCTTTATTGATGTAGAATTGAAATGACTGTCATTATGTCTTCCGTGCATGTGCATAGATTCTTGTAAGTTGCCTTTTGACGAAGTTATATGTTATATACCTTATTGGGGTATATATGTTCATTATACAATACTTAGCCACTTGGCCTTTGACATGATATTGTATTGTTGCTCTGTGTTCTGTCGTGTGTTTCTGCCTGTGCATTAATTACTATTGGATTGAACACGTATTTGATATTGTTCGAGGGGCCTTTGAGTGAGCACGTGCAATGTTGGTGACGTCACAACGTGTTGTTGTTCGATATCTTGTTATTGATTAATTCTGTCCATACGGAGACTGAAGGCGTTCATCGGGAACGGTAATTGATATGATTTGATAGGCCTTTGAGTGGGTCATAACGCGTTGTAGTTTGATGTACTACTTTGTTTGGGATTGTGTAGTATATTCTTGTTTGTACGAAGATTAACATTAAATTGAATTTTTACTCGATATGATTTGGCGGGCCTTTGAGTGAGCATGTGGAATGTTGATTACGCAATAACATGTTGTTGCACGATCGTTTATGCGGGAACCGAAGGTGTTTACCAGAAACGGTAATTGATATGATTTAATAGGCTTTTGAGTGAGTCATAACGTGTTGTTGTTGTTTGATATCTTATCAGTGATTAATTTAATTTATGCCCAGATATGGATATATTTTTTAATGAGCGTCTGTTTGGGAATTTTAATGGCTTCCTGTTGTTTTCACGATTACATGATGATTTGTTCGTTTTAAAATACCGAATATATTTTACTGCGTAGTATTTTAATTGCGTTTAGCTTTTTTTTTTTTTTACACCAGAATATGTCTTCACCTAGCTTTTTCACCCCATACGCTTATTATAATATAAATTACAAATTATGAATTATAAAGCATATTATTTATATATTACAAATTGCACGAAAGTTCGATTTTGCACCGTGTCCTCACGGTGTAATTATAACAACAAGAACGGAATGCGGACGGTTTGTTAAATTATATGACATTTTTTTTATTATAAATTAAGAAGTTTTGTATACAATGTGAAGATGAGTTAATTATACATTATGTGTTTTAGTGTTACTTGTACAGGTGTTGTTTTTTTTTTGCTATTTGATTTTTACATTGATATAGGGTTGCATACATTAATAGATCAAGAAATTTGATTTGTGCTTACTAATGATATGTGAGACGCTATTTTTTGTATAATAAAGATGAATTAAAAGAGAAATTAGAAATAGGAACTGATGATACTTATTTAGGATTTGTATTATGAATTGAATATGGATAAGTCGAAATTATCTATAATTTCTTGATCTAATAATTGTTTGGCGACCTTACAATACGCGCGTCTTTTACGTCTTAATTGACTTTTACTTACTGGTTTGTTGTTTTTGGAGGGGGATGGTGTGTTGTTCCGTAGGTATTGATCCTGTGCTGTTGCTTCGTTGTGGACCGGTGCCGTCGTTTCTGTGAAGAAAGTGGGTGTGATGGTTGGTGGTGCTGTGGGCGGCGCGACGTGTGGCGTTTCCTGATGCGTTTGTTTGAAAAATGTGGGTGAAGTCGTCGTGGAGTGCTGAATTATAATAGTAGCTGTTTTTGGAGGAGGAGTTAGGCAACCTGTTATGCGTGTGACCGGTGTATTTTCCAAGATGGTTTCACATGGTGTTTTCGTCCCCTCAATCATGTTAGCCATGGATTCTCTGTGTTGTACTATTCTTATGGAATGCATGTCATCTTGAGTGAATTTTATCGGTTTATTGAGGACTATGCATTTTGCCACTTCCAAAATCCATGGTCCGCAATCGTTGTTGTTTAGCTGCTTTGGGGTGAAACCATAGACTTTTTTCCAAGAGGACATTTGATGTCCTGAATAATCTTCCCAATCATTTAGGAAGTCTTCTATGGTGATCATAAATACATTGTGGATTCCGTGTTTGCCGTCATGGCAGACAATTGTATTGCTGTCATTATAGGCAACAGCAAGAATCCAATGGTTTTGTGTATTTATTGGAAAGATTATGTATTTTTGTCTAGGATTTGTTGTTTCACCCATTTTTTTGCTCCTTCGAATCCTTGTGTTAGATATTTTTGTATGAAGTCCACGCTGAGGTAATATGAGTCTTCGTTTTCTCTTGTTAATATTTTTAAGTAGTCCTCAATGATTGTTGTGTTGTACCAGTGTATAAAGAAATTGTTGGAGTAGCCTGCCATGCTGCTTGGTGTATCTGGTTCGACTGATAGTGTGTACCCTTTTTTTGTGGGTCCGAGTGTCTCATGTTGTGTGTAAATTTGTAGTAAGAGTTTTATTATGGATATTATAATTTTGTGTGATTAAGATAAGTAAGGCAGTGGGGTGTTTTTTTTTTTTTTTTAACTGTGGTGGGTCGGGTTGTTCTTTAGTAGTTTGTTATGTTTTAGCTAAAGAGTGTCCATCTGGAAGCAATATTATTCTGAATGTATGTGTGGTCAGTAGTCGGAGGTTGGGACAGGTTGCATCTACTTTGTATCAGAGTATGTGTGTTGAGGGACTCAGTATTGACATATTTATTTCAATTTTAATTTGGGTTTGGTATAAGGTGGGTTTTTTTTTTGATTTGTTGAATTTTGCCAGGCTGTGTAGGTTTTGGTGATGTAATATATAATTAATATGTTTTAAATGTTTAATGGGACCCTCTTTTTATTTGCTATGTTATGGTGAAGTGGCTCGGTTAGCCTATGGTGGTATATTGCTGTACCTAGTTGGAGCTATATTAGGGTTTCCCTTTTTGTTGTTTATAGGATTAATATTTTTAAATAATTGAGTTATATTCAATAATGAAATTAATTGATTTCATATTTGTGTAATTTAGGATCTACTCTCTAGTGTATTCTATAATTTATTTCTATTCTAATATTCCCCATTATTATATTGTTTATGATTTATTAAGTTCCCATTATTATATTATTTATGACTTATTAATTCCCATGTTAATATGAATTAATACTTATAATCTAGATTCCCATTTCGCGCTTATGAATTAGAATGTTTAAAGTTAATAACTACTATCTAGTTCCCTTTTTGTACTTTGCTTTTTTGTGTTTAATTCTAAGTTATTCTAGCACATGTTGTTGTTGAACATGATGGCTTATTGAACATTTGTAATTAATTTACTTATTATATATGTTAAGGTGAATGTTGACATTCACCGGTGAATGTTAACATTCACTGCTGTTTTTGGCGAATGTAAACATTTTGAATGAATATTAAAAATTTACCAACAGTCAACGGTGAATGTTAACATTCACAACGATTATCGGTGAGTGTTGACATTCACAATTGAATTTTGGTGAATGTTTAGTTAAGATTGGAGTATAGATGTTCAACGATTGGTGTGTGGTGTATCGTGTCATACGTAAAGATTGTGAATATTTATAGATATGATATTGTTCACACAATAGCTGAAGAGAAAATAATGTTTGAGTAGAAATGTATAATAATTTAATCGTACGGTGTTTAATGATCTATATTCTATAAATTATAATCTATATAATATTATCAGAGATGCATTTAACGTTACGGTATCTGTCTGTCTACCTGTACCCACTACCTATCTCTCTCTCTAACGTAGCTTTTACTTAATTGCGTAATTGGCGATACGTCCGTCATTGAAATATCAAATTAATCGAAAATATCGAAAACCATGGAAAATACGTTTATACGTTTATATCGACCAGTGTCGATGTATTTGTCTTGCTTACACGTACGGAAAGGCAAACTGTTGTGAATCGTGATTGAATTTGTGCTACGTTCGAGTTACTAATTGTTCAGTGTTCACATGTATAATGGAGAACATACGAGAAATTTTTTACGAAAAATTTAACGCAATGTTAAGTACAAAAAGAGAAGATAACAATTTTTATTTGAGTACTGAAAAATATGACAAATGTGTTGAAGACGTTCTCAAGTTTAAGGGGAAAGAAAGTAAGCAACGCGCCGTGTGCAAGTTATTGAAAAGATATGATGTCGTTAAAATAATGTCTCTCGACCAACTTATTGTTCCATTGAAACCTGGCGAAACAAAAATAATTTACTTCGTGAAAAATGAAGATTTATTCGATATTATCCATGATGCCCATATCAAAACAGGCCACGGAGGACGAACCCGTGTAATTAGTGAATTACAAACAAAATATAAAAATATAACTTATGAATCAATTACATTATTTTTGAGCTTGTGTGTTCAATGTCAAAGGAAACAAAAAGTCCCGAGGAAAGGGATCGTCGTAAAGCCCATTATAAGTCGTGAACTCAACTCTCGATGTCAAGTTGATTTAGTCGATATGCAAACGTGTAAAGATGGTGAGTACAAATTCATTCTCAATTATCAAGACCATCTCACTAAATTTATACAGCTTAGACCATTGAAGAGCAAGACAGCAGAGGAAGTAGCCCTCACGTTGCTGCCAATTTTCCTCACTTTCGGTGCACCTAATATTCTGCATTCCGATAATGGGAGAGAGTTTTCCAATAAAATTATTATGGATTTGTGCTCGAGGTGGGAGGGTGTAAAAATTGTTCACGGTAAACCTCGTCATAGTCAATGTCAAGGTTCCATCGAAAGAGCCAATCAGGATTTTCAAAACATACTCAGGGCCATGATGCACGATAAGAATACAACAAAATGGTCAGAAGCTTTACCATTTGTTCAATTCGCAAAAAACACTGCTTATCATCAAGGAATAAAACAGACACCGTATGAGGCAATGTTTGGTAACGTTGCTAAAAGGGGCCTAGCAACAAGTTCGTTGCCACGAGAACAAATAAAAGACATTGAGACCTAAGAGCAGCTTGAACAAATTATACAGTCAGTAGGTGAGTACCTACAAATGTAATATAAAAAATAAAATTATATAGATAATAAATTAAAATATTATTATTAGATGATGATAACACTGAGCAAGTGGAACAAAATGGCAATGATATACAACCAGAAAGAGTATTAGGTAAACTATATTTATAATAAATAAATAATTAAATAGGTACAATAACAATACTTAAATATATTATATCATAATATCTGGTTTAATAAGTTGGTTGCTAAAATTATCCGTTAGATGGCAGAACTATTTAAAATAGAAAAAAAATGTATAAACAGTAAAATGATAAATTTTATTCAATTCTATTCAGAAAAATCTAGTGCTTCAAATGGTTAATAAATAATTTATAATTTATCAACTTTCCAGCTAATGAGATCCATAATTATGACACTGAGCAGGTGGAACATAATGTTGAGCAAACTGAATTAGATCATGAATTAAAAAAAAAAAAAAAACATGATTCAAAATAGAGCAGCAGCAAGAATGGGACTTGAATTACAAGCTGAAAGAATGCTTCGTTCATCAAAACAAAAGTTTACACCAGCTAAACCTGGTGATACTGTTCGTATCCGAGTCCCTGATGTTGACCAAGGGCGTATGGATCCACAAAACATATTAGCAGTTGTCGTAGCTGTCGATAATGAATTTTACACACTAGGAACAAAAGAGAGTGTATTAAATCAATTATACACCCGTAATCAATTTGCTGTATGTAAAGAAAATATATTAACTCCTGAAGAAGTTGCTACTGACCAATCCGTGTCCTTACGGAAAGCGTCCACTTCAATTTCTCAAACAGGTGGACAGGGGTACTTGAGATGCAATTGTAAGGCAAAGTGTGTGTCGAAGAAGTGTAGTTGTAGATCCTCAGGCATTTTATGTAACTCAAAATGTCATAATAGTTTGTCTTGTTCCAACAAATAATTTTATATTATAAAATAAAATAATTATTAATTATTAACCCTTTGAGTGCTAAATTAATTTGTAAAAACTATTTATCTCTAGGTATTCATCTTTTTTTACAAAATGTCAACATTCACCAAAAACAGATTGTGCATGTCAACATTCACCAGTGAATGTCTACATCTAGGAAGAAATTAGCATTCACCAGACA